GAGAGAGAGAGAGAGAGAGAGAGAGAAAAAGAGAGAAATCAGAGAGAATACACAGACATACACGTACATCTATGTGCAGTGGGATATATATGGTAAGACATAATATTATTTTGTCTGCCTCGTTTTTCTATCGGCCTTCTCAATTTTCCCTAGTCCGAGACGAACATTGTTTTGTGAGCTTGTAGTATTCTAAATAACAAGGAAACATGCAATGACAATGGGTGTGGGACAGTCATGGATTTGATTGACATGTGGTCCAGTGTGTGTACACAACGTTGAATGCACCATTAATTGTGTTCTTCTTTCTTTTGTTCCGCCCACAGGGAGGCTTCGCCCGCTGCTACGAGATCCTGAACTTGAACACCAACAAGATCTACGCCGGGAAGATCATCAGCAAAGCCCGGATCGCCAAACCACATCAGAAACAAAAGGTAAGACAAGGCCAGGGGAAATAACTAGTGTGAAAGACCAGTCCAGGGGGGAAGTAACTCGTGTAACGAGTCGGACCAGGTACAAGCTACATTCTTTTCTTTCTGTGCACCCCCCTCCCCCCACCCTCTCCTCGCTCTCTTGTCTCTTGCCTGAACAATAGGACTTCAGCTACCGGACGACAGAAATTCCTTTGGACTCCTGATGGTGGACATTGTATGGTTCGGGGTAGTGCGGCCCTTGTGTATTGCTTTAGGTACGTTTTAGTCAGTGTGAGAAGCTGACTGCTTGGTTTTTTTTAGGGAAAAACTTTAATAATGAAAGCAAACTTCCTTGCATTGGCTTTCTCAGGCAAAAGTGTACTGACTGTTTAATCGCTTGATAGCGGAGGTGACAGTTCAAGACAACAGTCGGTTTGGGCAAAGGTATTAATTAAGTAGTATAAGGAACTGGAAAAGATAGGTCTTGGGAAGTAGATCTGGTCCTCCAACCGAAGATACGTTTTGTATTAACAGAAAGCTCTTTTTAGTTTCTCCATAACAACATAATATAAATATATACATTTCTTTCTCCTTTTTTCCTTCTCTTTCTCTTTGCCTCGCTTTCTCTCTTTCTCTCTCTCTCTC